GGGAACACTATTCTGCCAAAAAGAAAGACAAAATTGATTCACTTGGAGGAACACTGGATGCACCTCGAGACCATAATGCTCCATGAAATAAATCAGACACACAAGCTTAAATACTGCAGGGTTTCTCTTACAGGAGAAATTCAAACTATAAATTGGTAGGTTTTAACGGTGTCACAGCAGAGAAACATGCAGAAGGAAAAGGGAAAGGGGCTTTATTATAAAGGAAAAGGGACTTTATTATCTTAGAGGACACGGAGAGAATTGGGGAAGATAAGGAATTCTCTGGATTGGAGCAAAGGGGGCTGAGGCTTTTATGGCCTTTGCCAGGGGTGGGGCTTGAGGGGGAAGTTTAGATAGACCTGAGGAGCTGACTGGGGCCTTCCCTGAGGTGGTGGGAAAGGTGAAAGGAAACTGCATCCTGGGCTGAGTTGGAGCAGAAGCGGGGAGGTGGTCTCTGGGAAGATGAGCTGTTGTTTAAGGGCTTCAGCCATGTTGGATGACCACCATAATAATTCAGCAATTCTTACTAGGGCCATAACCTACCATAAGTGAGTTAAAGAGCAAAATCAAAGCTAGATAATAGGAAGCAGGAAGACAGAGTCTTTGCAGAAAGGAAGGGACCAAATGACGGAATGAAGGAGAGGGAAGGAGCCAGGAATGAAGATGTGCGCTGTGCGCACACCAGCTCCCCGCAGATGTGATCATGATGTCCTACGAACACGGATGATTGAAGCAAAAGCTCAGCTCTTGCACCACTTAGCCAAAGAACCTGGAGTCGGTCATTTGAATGCTGAGCCTCCGTTTTGTCATCTGAAAAGTGGGGATGATAACGGCACTGTGTATCTCACCAGGTCTTTGTGAAAATTGACCAATGTATATTACCTGGTAGAGCAGGGTGATACAAATAGTCGCCCTTGTTTTCATCATGTGGAAATTGCACTTAATTTGGGGCATGTTTATAACTGTAAACTTGTGTTTATAAGAGGAGCTTTCGGGGCCGGGGAGATGGCTCAGTAGGATAAGCGCTTGATGGCAAATGCAAGGATCTGAGTTCAATCCCCGGTTCCACAAAAAAAAGGAGGTTTCTTTTTTAAGAAACCCTTTGGTGGGACAACAAGATTCTAAAACAGGATCCAACAGAGGAACCATTTGGATCCTGACAGTTCCCAGAAGCTTTGTGGAAAGGTTTTTCCTCTTTGTCCAAATGATTGGTAGAATCCAGGAAGGAAACCTGGGAAGGGGGCTGGCAGGTGTTCTGAGACAGTAGAAACAAACAGGAGTAATCTTGTCACTTTAGATTTATACTTTCAAGTTGGGATATGCCACTGACATGAATTGATTTGTGCTAAGGGTTTTGAAAGATGCCATCTACCTTGGTTTTGAGAAATCTGTTGTTCTATTTGAGATAATACGCTTTGGCAAAGAAACCATTCCTTTAAAGTTTTTAGCTTTGGAAATAAGAAACCATTGATACCAAGCTTAAAGCTTTTGGAAAGTTAGAATTTTCCCAAATTACATTCCTGTGTCAAGGCCAGTGGGAAGGGGTCCAAGGCTGGCTGCAGGCAGCTTTGTAAAAGAAACACAGCAGCGATGTGCCCTGCACTGCTTCCTGCCCTGCCCAGTCCCCTGCGGCTCCTCTCTGCTCCCTGAGAAAAGTGGTGGTCACTAGCTGGGAGCAGGTCCTTAGGATACCTTTGATTGTAGGATTTGCCTTTTAGGCTTAGGCAAGAGAGTCTGCCTATTTTGAGAGGTTTTTCTGACATCCTTAAGTGTGGCAGGGAGGTTTTTTTAATGGAATAAAAGCTGGGAGCCTGTGAAATAACAGCTACCAATAATGTAGAGTTGGGCGCCCTACAAAGTACTTCCATATGGGATTTCTTTTTCTCTTCTACCTTTCCTGCTTTCTCTTCCTTTTCTTCCTCTTCCTCTCCCTCCTCAGACTTCTTTCTCCTTCCTTCTCCTTCCCATAGTGCTGGGGACAGAGTTCAGAGCCTCTCTCACACTGACCAAATGCTGTACCATGAGCCCCAGCCCTGGCTCCATGTGGGATTTTATCTTAGGGCACACAGTAGAAGGGGGGTGGTGAAGACAGCAGCCAGGTATCCAGGTTCCAAGCCCAGCTCTGCCTGGTGGGCAGGGTGAAGCTGTGTAAGCACTCTGCGTTTTGGCCTCCTGAACTGTAGAGTGGGATCTAGGGGAGACAGAAGGAGAGAGTCCATCTAAGTCACCTTAGCTTGGGGTGAGCGTGCCGCTGGAGCTGTGGATGTGCCAGCCACAGCTGTTCTGTCTCCTCACATTGCTAGTTCAACTGCAAATGTGCACAGTCGTGTTTGACACACCGGCGGTCCTGTGTGGTGTGTATTTCTGTCCCCTCTGTATAGATGCCAAAGGTCAAATGTCAGAGTGGGGTAAAGGGAGTGGCTTGCAGAGGGATGATTCGTAAGTGTCAGAGCTGAGATTTGAACCCAGACAATGTGATTTGTGTCCATGCCCTTGAGGACAGTGAGCAAGGAAAGACGGGGACCTTCATATGGGGTCCCAAACATGGACACAGCCATTTGTTGTTTCCTACAGGTTCTCTGAGCACAGGGACCCAGCTGAGCACAGGATTGCTCCGTGCTGTGTTTTGCTCTTCACCGTGGAAGAGCACAAGCTGACTGCGGTGGGTCCCTGTGAGGACTGAGGTTTATAAGGCCAGCGAGCACTGAGGTGCAAAGCCCAGCTGCTCTCTGGTGGCTTGGCACATCCTGTCCTGTCTGTCCTGTCCTGTCCTTCCTGGGCGCAGCTCCCTGCCTGTGAAGTGCCCGGGCTTCGTGAGGCTTGGAGGAGACAGATGGCCTCCAGAGCTCTTCTAGACAGGCTGTGGGTGCGTGCAGTCAGCTGATCCACTGCTGTTCCTGCTGTCACTTCCTTTCCATGGAAAGATACAGCAGAAGCTTGACCCCACTGCAGTAGTGTGGAGTTTGCATCTTAACTCGAGATTTCATAGCTTTAGAGCTGAGAGTCTGAAGGGAGGCTGCGAAGTGCAGTTGCCTTGGGGCCGGGGAGATGGCTCAGTGGAATAAGTGCTTCCCTGGCAAATGCAAGGGCCTGAGTTCAATCCCCGGTTCCACCAAAAAAAAAAAAAAAAAGTGCAGTTGCCTTATGCTGCAAGGTGTTGCACATTTTCTGCACGTGAAGCAGATGCTTAGGAATGTTTCCTGCAAAGGAGTCTTAAGAGCTTCTTGTGGCGCAGCAGCGAGCGACAGAGCTGGCCTGGGCACCACAGCTCTGCTGCCTAGAGGGCCGACCAGACTGCTGGGACTTCAGAACGCTGCCGATTCTTTAATGATAGACTGAAGAAGCTTTTGAAAACAAAATAAAGTCCAAGCAACCTACAATCTCCTCTTTCTCCCCACAGTCCCCTGCAAAGCAGACCTGCAGATAATGTAATGGTGCTTCTACACAGCCGTCATTTACATAGCTAGGTCAGAGCACTGACTGGAGTAACCTTTGTTTGCTGGGACTAAGCACCAGTGAGATGCCTGTGCCCCCTGTGGCGAGGAAGGAGCAGCCGCCTATGTGACCAGGCCCTGGAGATTACCAGGAAAGCCTCTGCAAACATAACTCAGTGGCCTTATACATTCACCTTGTTTATATTTAAATACATTAATTAAAAACATTTTTTATGAGTCCCTGTTTGGAGCGCGCCCTGGTCATGTTGTTCGTGGGGCGTCCCACACTGTCATTCTTTTCATATCCGTTGCCCATCCCCCTCCATCTCTTGCTCCTTTTCCCATTTTCAAAAGATCTGGCTCCCTTTCCTGGTGGCTGTTTTGGATTTTGCTCCCTATTTATGCTTTGGGTTTCTCATATTAGAGAGACCACGTGCTTTTGAAGCTTGGGTATCTGAGTTATTTCACTTAATTTGATGGCTCCAAGATGCATCCGTTTCCAACGAGTGCCTCAGGTTTACCCTTCTGTGCGGCAGAGGAGTGCTCCACGGGTGCATAAATGTTGCCTGAAGCCTCATCTTACAGTGGATGGTGGCCTGGGTAAGGTGTGTAGACAAGTAGGAAGTCCCAGCAAGAGCCCCCAATGCCCAGCCCAGTTTTCCACGTTGAAGTGCAAATAAATGAAGTTCGTGTTTCAGCAAGACCAGCCAGGGGCCTGCAGAGTCCTGCACCTGGCAGTCCTGGGCTGGGAAGCAGGAATCCCTTTTCAGAGGAGGAGACCTTGACCTAGCAGGGAAGTTTGTCCTGGGTTGTGTCACACTTGCACCGCTGGATTTCACTTTCTGAAACATGAGCCTCGACCCCCCTATACAATGAAAGCCACACATTAAGGCCAATCACAGGGCTTTAGACTGGAGTCTCTTGCTGCATTGCTGCACAAGGACTTCTCTCAGTGACGATGACCTTGTCTTTGAGATCTTCCTCCTTCTCTTTCCGCAGACGACCCTAAGGTCATCATCGCCAATCTCACGGTGAGTGTTGCCAGTCTCTGGGCCTGTGCCCTGCTAGCCGGGCCTTGGCTCCCCCTCATGCTCTGTGTTCACCTCCCCTGTGGGCGGGAGGAGCCTTGGGGTTGGCATTGCTCTTGGGCCCAGGCTCGCCAGGCAAGAGTTTGTCAAGAATCTCTCACTCCCCAAGAGCCAACTTCGTCCTGGGTAAAGCTATCTCAACCTCATTGAATTTACAGGATTTTAGCACATGTTATTTGATAGGGGAAAATAGATTCTAGTTACTCACTGATCCTTTTTCGTTTGGCTTACAAGTGCCTTCAAATTTGAAGGGATGGAATATTTAGGACTTGTTGTGGAAGACATTCCGTGTGAAGACTGACTTTCCTTTCTATTGCAGTGTAAAAAACCAGACCAGCACTTCAAACCTTACCTGAAGCAGCACCTTCCCAAACGCCTGCACTACGCCAACAACAGGAGGATCGAGGACATCCACTTGCTGGTGGACCGCAGATGGCACGTGGCGAGGTAACCTGGGGACTGGCTTCCCCGGTGCTCATCTTAAAGCCTCTTTTTGGCAACTGGAAATAATTTAAGGTTCCTGGCCATCAGAAAGGAGATCTCAGGTGGCACTCTCACAGCTTCCAAAGGTCCTGTGTCCTGGAGGAGTCCTTTGTGCCGTGACTGCGCATTCCTTCGTTACCAGTGTCCATAGCCTGGTGTCCCTTTGTAGTCTGCCAGTGTATCCATGTGTGAATTTGCTTTTTTGAATTGACGTTGTAACTTCTATTTTTGTTACTTGAACAAGTTAAAAATACAGCTGGGACTGCCCCATAGCGCACTGGGCTGATTTGGTTTTGGTTGATGTGACTTGCATTGCTATGACTTTGTCTATAGCGATGTTCACGGAGGACTTCAAGAAGAATTCATTTTAAGAGCTCTGTTATTGTACACATGTTTTACATTGCTTTGGGTATTTTCTTTCTTTTTTTTTTTTTTTTGTTCCTCGAATGCCTTCAGGGCACTTTTGGCCAGCGGGAGAGGTGTGAGGTTCGAACTCCAGCAACCTGAGGCTGACAGCTTTGTGGAAGCAGCCACTTAAAGGCCTGAGCTAGGGCCAGGCCCCCGCTTTGGGTATTTTCAATGTTTACATTCTTTTGAACTGCGCAGACCCTCTTGCCTCAAATACAACATCCTTTGCTTTGGAAGTGAGCAGAAGGCGTGTCTTAGGCTCTTGATAGGATTAAAGACTGAGCAGTAAAAGTCACCCATTTTCACACACACCTAGGCACAGCTCTTTTGCATGCACTCTTGGCTCAGTATTCTTCCTAAGGAAGAGTTGTGAATCTGCAGCCATGATTGAGGAGGTATGACGTGTGCTCTAGCTCGGTTCTCCGATGAGTTCACAAGGGAGAGAAGATAAAGTTGGTCCCTTAGGGAGAGATATCAGAGTGAACTCTCAGGAAGATGCAAGTGACAAGCACAGACACATGCTACTGCCATTGCAAAGGGAGTAGAGCTAGAGTTATGTACATGGGGCCATGAGAGGAGACACATAGAGACCAGAAGTAACCGATACCACATGGAACAGACACCAGGAGTTCTCATAGGAAGACCACTGGCTGTGCGCACAGTGTCCTGGCTGCCCAGGGCCCCTGAAGGTCACATTATGTGTGGGGCATCTGGGAAGAGAGAGACGCTTGATGCAGGTGGTAGGTTGATATGAGGACAACACAGAGCTGAGCAGAAGTTCAGAGAAAAACAATGGCAGTCTAGACCAAAGTTGGGCATGTTAATCAGCAGCAAAGTTTTGAGCCTACCTCTGGCATTCCTGAGCTGTAATCTGCATGCATGTCATCACCTCATGCTCTGGGAACTCCTTGTGCATTTGTTAGATGTCCCCTTGCCCTGCACTTTACGCTAGTGCCCTGTACCTGCAGGCCCGGAGGCAATACTTACATTAACAAATACAAACATTTTTGGGGAAAGAGCCATAGGAAATTTATGAAAGAGTCTTCCTGTCATAAGAGGGACTATCAAATGAACAGCATTTCCATTTTCTAAGTATTGTTTTTTTTTAATGTATGTGGTACAGGGTCTCACTATGCAGCTCGGACTTATAGTAATCCTTCTGTTTTCAGCCTCCCTGGCATTGGGATTACAGGCCTGCACCATCACTCTCAGTCTTAGTGGCTGGGCATTTCCATTTTATACTTCTCAGCAGAGATAGTATTAAGTGAGACCAGGATTTTGTTAGGTATTTTACTACACTGGCCATCAGAATTCAGCCAGTCACTGGCACATCAGGCATCCATCATGACCAGAAGGGCTTCTTTGTTCCCTAGGTGCAAAGAGGGTCCAGCATATGTGAATCAGTAAATGTGATTCTCCATATAAGCAGAAGTAAAAACAGACATCACAGGGTCATCTCAGCCGATGTAGAGAAAGCCTTTGACAAAATCTCACATCTACTCGTGATAGAACCCCTGGAGCAAATAAGTATAGATTATCTCAATCTGACAAAGGCATTTATGACAAAGCTACTGCCAACATCATATTTTCTTTTAAAATATTTAAAGGGCTAGCCTGACAGCTCAGCGGATTAAAGCGCCTGCTTAAATAGAGCGCAGTGGCTGGGGCTCGATTTCTGGTGTGCCCTGCCAGCCCTACCCATGGGGCATGCTGAGACAGCAATCGGGACTGGGTGTGGTGGTGCGCGCCTATAATCCCAGCACTTGGGAGGCTGAAAACAGGAGAATCACTACAAGTCCGATCTATGTAGTGGGACCCTGTAGACCCTGTCCTAAATACAGAAAGAAAAAAAACATTAAGAAAAAGTATTTATTCATTTATTTATTTAGTTGGTACAGAGTCTTGCTACGCAGTTCAGACTCATAGTAATCCTGTCTCAGCCTGCCTAGTGGGGGGATTACAGGCGAGCACCACCATGCTGGGCTTTGCTGGCCTACATAGTACGCCTGGGGTCCTGGGGCGTGCAGTACTGGGGATCCAACCCGGGTCACTGTGCTTGCCAGGCGGGTGCTTAGACTGCTGAGCAGTCTCCCTAGCTCTGCCCACACACTAGCTTTCCCTCTGAAGTCAGGAATAAGTCAAAGATCTCCACTAGCCCCACTCCTATTCAGTGTAGTGCTCACTAGAAGTTTCCTCTAGTTGGATTGTGAAGATGGGAAATTCATGCAGGAATGTTTTCGTAGCACACAGACCTGCGTTCATTGATTGACCCTGAGCCTAGGGGCGGTGTGGGGAGGGGCAGCAGCAGCAGGTGAGTGAAGGCCCACAGTTGAAAGCCTCACGGTCTCGAAGTGAGGGACACAGTATGGCCCACGGAGGGTCCCTGTTATTTGTTAAAGGAGACAAATCGTCTTTCAAAAACTCCTTCTCAGACACCCTTTTTGCACCCTGAAACTGGCTCTTTATCGGAGTGATTTCAGGAGAAACACTGACTGACCCTATCATTGTTTCAAGCAGGAAATCTTTGGACGCCTCTAAGAAACCTGTGGGGAAGTGTTTTTTCCAGGGGGACCATGGATTTGATAACAAGGTCAACAGCATGCAGGTATGGTCACGGAGCCAGGGAGGGGTGCTGCCTCTTGGTGACTGTCACAAGGGAGCGGTGGGTGGTTTTCATATAGAGGAAGGGCTGGCCCTGAATCTCGGTGGTGGCTAATTGCTTTCGTGTTTTCTTTCCTTTTGCAAGACTGTTTTTGTAGGTTATGGCCCATCATTTAAATACAAGACTAAAGTGCCCCCATTTGAAAACATCGAACTTTACAACGTCATGTGTGGTAAGTCACTTATTTCAATCAAACCTGGTGAGCTAATCTTTAGTTCATACACTGACTCCTTCGACATCAGAGAAAGAAAGGAGGTGTCTCTTTTTAGACCACCTCCTCTCCCCCTTGATTCAGAGGAGGAGTAGCATCCTCTTCTAAGGCTACCTTGTCTCCATCGACAGTCGCCTCACCGGGAGCTTTCATGGTGTTGGTGTTGGCAGCCTTGGCTGCCCCAACAGAGCATCAGAGTCTGACACCACTGGTCAGAGCCCCGCTGGAGCAAGAGCTCCCCACAGAGCCTTCTCCCACACCTCTCTTGCTGCAGCCCAGCTAAAACCTTGCCGGCTTGCCCCCAGGCCAGCTATTTATGTGCTTCTAATTATTTTTCTTCCTTGAGCTTCTAGCTGCTGAATGAGGACAGCTTTCCTATTTGGCCAGGGAGTGCTGGTCTGGTGGTCAGAGGGGGAGCCTTCGAGTCCCAGCTCCCGGGCGCTCTTGCCATCCTGGTGGCTGGCTGCCCCTGCCCCGTCTCAGCTTAGGTGCTGTCCTGGGTGCCAGCCTGGCAGCAGATCGCTTGCTGTGAAATCAGCCCGGTGCTGTGAGGCATGTGGCCAAAGCCTCCTCTTGTGCACACCTTCTGAGGAGGGCATGAGCGGGCAGGCTTGTGCGTATTTACTGGTTACGGTCTCGTTTCAAAATTTGGGTTTAAAAAGTCCCAGGGAAGGACAGTGATGCGGATCGATCATTGCTGATGGCATTGGCAGGCCCTGTTCCCCCGCTGCTTGACTTGGGAAATTTCTCTCTCTGCTCCTGGTGAAACCTGAATGGGGTGGCCGTCTCAGTTTGGGCTTGTGTGATTCTGATTTGTGTTTGGCCTTTACAGACCCCTGGGAGGGGAAAGCTTTTGACCCTCATTGTAACTTATCACAAACACAGAAGAAGCTTGTGACTCATTTGCTTTGCTTCAGATCTCCTGGGATTAAAACCTGCTCCTAACAATGGAACCCACGGAAGCTTGAATCACCTGCTGCGCAGCAATACCTTCCGGCCAGTGATGCCTGAGGAGGTCACCAGGCCGAACTACCCGGGGGTCATGTACCTGCAGTCGGACTTCGACCTGGGCTGCACCTGTGATGATAAGGTAGAACCAAAGGTAGAAATGATCTTTGTCTCTCTCTTGGAGGAGCTGGAGGGGTGTGGAGTAGCACTGTCCCTAGAACTTCCTGTGATGGTGAAATGATTTATATTGCCGCCATCTGAAATGCAGTCACAGGCTGGCTTGGTGGCAAAACCTAAAATTTTAGTCTTTCTGTTTCAAGTTGAGGTTGGAAGAATCACGTTGGGTAGCAGAGGCGGAGGGAGGGAAGGGTGGAGGAGTTCTGAGTTGTGGAGCTCCAGCTCCCAGCCCGAGCTCTTTCTTTCATTGGCTCATGGATAGCAGGGCTGTCAGTCCTGGTCCTCACAGTGAACAGGTGGCAGTGCAGGTGCGACTTTCAAAGACTCTTTTGGAAGGCTGTTTCCGCTGCATTTGATGAGAGCCGAAGTCACAAAGGCTGTGCCGGGTGGGTGGGGTCTGTGAGGAGCTGAGCTTGGGGCCAGCAGGGCATCTCATGGAGAGGAAGGGAGATTGTATTTGGAAGGTGACGGCAGCTAGTGCACTACGACCTGGCAGAGAAGGGGTGGGGACAGTAGCTCGCCTCTCTCCTCTGCTCCCCTGCAGATGTGACCTGTGGTGAAGCTGAACATGGAGCCAGAGTGTGCTCTTGGGTGCGGCTCCGGGGCCTGCTCCCGAGGACATGGAGCAGGGTGGGGAGGGGTGCATGCAGGGAGTGGTGTCATTGCAGCGAGCCCCTAGCAAGCACGATGCAAGGGTTTGGATACCAGATTCCAGCACTGAGAAATAGTTGTGCATTGAATAGTGGGTCAGGGACATTTATAGCTGCCAGTCAGTGCTGCTACTGGCAGGGGTTATCCAGCGCTGCTACCCTGAGCTGGGTGATGCTGTGCATGTGTATGTGGTGTAGTTTTGTTACTATAGATATATGTGGGATTTTTCTGTTATGCCCTAGCAAACAGAAAACAGTTCTCTTGTTGCACAGTCTCCCTGCCCTGCCCCTTTCACCCTCCTGGACTCCTGGGAGTCTGAGACCTGAGGCCAGCTTAGCACTGGAGGAATCCTTTTGCCCTTCTTCCTTTTTTATCCCTGTCTTGCTTTGGCTGCCACTAAGAACCACACAGGTGAATTATTACGAGGGAGGCAATGCTGGGTCTCAGAGGGGTGAGGCAAGTGGCCAGAGCCAGCAGGAAGTTCTCTTGGGAAGCAGGTTCGAAAGTGCAGCGTGGTCTGCTAGCTGCAGCTTGCATTCTGAGTTACCTTCTCTGGAGAGAGAGCAGCCTTTTGAATGTCTTATCTGAAGTTATTTTAGAGGCATTCTGGTTTGTTTTTATTTTTTCCTGTGGGTTTCTCCAAAAGGTTACTTTTCTTTCCTTAAAAACAAAAACAACACAAAAAGCACACTGTCAGGCATACAGAAGCAAGACTAGTGCAGTGCAGCCCAGGACCCAGCTTGTAAGGAGGAGAGAGCATCAGAGGCTAGTGGATGTGAGCGCCTCCTTCTGGGCCTTCTTCCTTCCTATCAGAGTTAACTGGGACTCAGGATACAGTGTGTGCGGCTCCTCTGCGGGCCTCGGTACCACTTTCCTCTCTGTATGCATCTTTCAAATAAAATGTGAGGTGACTTGGAGTATGGTTCCTAAATATACTACGGTATGGTTTTGCATTTTATACATTATGCATTATGTGACAGGAATCAGACAGTTATTTTATTCATGATGTGTTTTTAGAGAGATTTATGCATATCATGAAATGTTAGCTCACTCATTTTAAATTATATTGAGTTGCCTAAGTGTGCCATGCTGACTTTCTCCATGTTCCTGTTTGAGAACATTGGTGATTTCCAGATGTTCATTCTTAACCAACAGTGCTGTTATAGCCGTTGCTGTAAAGTCTTTTCTATACACATGTGTCAGACAACACTGGGGGGAGTAGCTGAGACACTGGCTTTTAGACTGTTGAGGTATTACTTTTGTAGGGTGGAAGTTATTTAGCATACCTCGGGATCAATAGGAACTACTGCATTACATATACATAAGTTATTTTGTGTGTAGTGGTTATTATATGCAGCCATCATTACCATTGTGAGAAGTTGGTACAGTGCTTATCCACAGGCTTAAGGAAAAGAAACTGAACAACAGAGAAGTTAAAGAAGACACGGGTTAGGGAGATAGATAGCTCAGTAGCATAAGCGCCTGCCTGGCAAGTGCAAGGTCTAGAGTTCGATCCCTGGTACTGAAACAAAGGTCAGCTGGCATCTTAACACATGACCCAGCGCCATTTCCAATCTGAGTAAACCAAGGCAAGGAAACCAGTGGGTGTTGTTTTAAAAACAAAATTAGCAGAATGCTAAGTAGGATGCAGGAAAGAAATAACATTTCCGATTTTCTTTCTTGTCTCCTTTCTTGGTTTTCGCATGTGAAGAACAAATTGGATGAACTCAACACGCGCCTTCATACCAAAGCGTCTACCGAAGGTAAGGGATTGTTCGGGGCAATGATTAGATAAATGTTGTTTTCTAGTTTTTTAAAAATGGAGCACCTTCTATTTACTTTATAGTGTTCACATAACCTTTGAACACTTCATCTTTGTATTACAAAGTGCCACTTTCACCCATCTGGCAAAGGGTGTGCATTTATTCTACCGTGCAGGTTGACAGCTGAATGAGAGAATTCGAGTCACTGTTTTGCTCTGTTCAACAGCTTCTAAGCCCTCAGAAAGATAGGTGACCTGTTGCACATCTGCTGGGTCATGTTTTAAGATGCCAGTGGTTACTCCTGCAGAGAGAATGGTGGTCCCAGCTGTAAAGAAAAGGACCAGATGTGTACATACATGTACCGACTCTCCAGGATGAATATACTTACTATATAACATGAACATACACTAATCCAAACACTGAATGAAACTACCTCCCTGGAGACTGAGAGTTGGTGTTGCAGAGGTGAGAAAGACGGAGGACGCAAGTCAGAATTCCTTCTTTACATAAGGGCTCATTAAAAAATATTTTGATTAAGAGATGTTTGTGATCCATAATGAATAAATTCCTGCTGGGGAGTTGGCACAGGTACACACCTCACCTTAAAGGCTCCTTGTGAGCTCTAGTATTCTGTTTTACATACAAGGATAATAATAGTTTGTTAGCAATTTTTGGCAGAATTTTGACATGACAGATTAAAAAAAGGCTAAGCAATTTGTCCCTCAAAAGACACAAGTCCTGCTCACATTTTTGTGAGCAGACTTAAGCTACGTGTGGCTCTGCCCCGTGCGCCCTCCTTAGCCTGGAATGTGGCCTGAAAGAGCTGTCGATGTCTGGGACAGGCCTGCCCGTGAGAGCACAGAGCCTGGAAACGGAGCTCGGGGCTTTGGCTTTCTGGGGTATGCGTCCTTCCCTTTCCGGGCACCAGCCACAGTCAGGCATGGGCTAGCGGTGCTGTAGGGAAGTGTGTTGTTCCCACCAGGGCTCTGCCCTGCAAGTCGCAAGGCAATGGGTGTGGCAGAAAATAACTAGGAACGACAGCAGAAGCTACGATGCACGTTCTTCCTCTGATTTTGAAGTTCCAGGACTTTAGAAGAAAATGTAAGAGGGTGGAGAGGGCTGGACTGGCTCCGCTAGTAGACGGGCCACGGGGAAGGGCTGGGAGCGCACTGCACAGGCAGCCACGCTCGAGCCACGCAGGAAAGCAGTGCGCGGTCGCCCCCACCCAGCCGGTCGGCAGCGCACGTGTGGCTCTGGGTACCATGTGCACCATTTCCAATCTGAGTAAACCAAGTCGAGGAAACAAACAAGAACCTGCCTCTCCCTTCCTTTTCTGTAGCCACAGCCTCTTCTTTTTCCGCTCGATCACAGAGCACGCAGACTCTGACATTCCACTGGATAAACGCACTTTTAAAGGCAGGACTGCGCTGTGGAAGCTGAGCGCGCGCTCCGCCGGGGTTTGCAGTGTGCAGAGCCTGTGCTCTGGCGGCTCCGCAGGGTCATTATAAATAAGGAGGCTGGGGTGTTGCTGGGTCAGGGGGGTCCAGGAGGTCACATGACGTGAGTTCCAAACTGTCAACAAAGAAATACAAAATGTTTCTAGTCTGAAAGTTGCTGATGAAACTATAATTATCACATTTGATGGACTCCCATGGTTTTGCTGATTTAAACTCTGCCGGTGGTCCTAAGACATTTCTGAGAAAAGAGCCTGCCTGCATCTGCTGCTGCCTGGTGGCTGTGTGACAGACTCAGTCCTAGACTCAGAAGGAAAGGTAGCAGCAGGCGTGACTCCCGGACTTAGGTCTTTCTTCAAATACCCCTGAAGCTTCATGCCATGTATTGTCATGAAAAGAGAGCCCTGTAGTTTCCTTCAGCATTTGTTGAGTGCGAGCCCTGGGCTGGCTCTGGTTTCTCAGAGGCTCTTCCTGTGCTGATGGTTTCTCACCCATAGGTTCAAAATGGTGCTGTGGAATGACAGGGGAGACACATAGAGCACACACCCTTGGTGTGCTTGTGGGCTAGGCACAGCCTTTGCAGCTACGAGACAGATTTAAAATACTGAAGGAAGGAGCAATAATTCCATATCATTGCATTATATTTTTATCATATATTTATTTATTTGGTTCAGAGTCTCACTACGCAGCTCAGACTCATAGTGATCCTCCTGTCTCAGCCTTCCCAGCGCTGGGATTACAGGCGTGCACCACCACACCCAGTTTCCCTGGCTGGCTTGGTTCAGGGCCAGCACAGCATGTGGTTCAGGGATCGAACCTGGGTTCTTGTGCTTACTGGGCAGGCTCTTAGACCACTGAGCTATCTTCCTGGCCCCTCATTGCATTATAATATGCAAAACATTTTTGTGTTTAGATTCTGGAATGTGTCTAGATATTAATATCCTTTGTTCTATTTGTCTCTCTGTCTTTGGGTCTAGTCTCTCGCCTCCCGCAGGGAATCTCTCTGTCATTTCTTCAGGAGTGGAGCAGTATGTCTCAGTCTCAGTCCTTTCAGGTCTTGGGGTGTGTCCTGCACGGTGAACCCCAACCTCCCGCGCAGCGTGCTCTGCTTGCTCCACGGGGCAGAGCTGCGTGAGCACGGGTTGCTGTGCGTGTGCAGGTGTGTTAGGTTCAGAGGAATTGTTTCCCCTTTCTGCATATGCTGGGATATATGCTGATGCTTATAAAGCATTTAAAAAATTAAATTTTTATACAAATATAAAGGTGTATGATTTTTATTCATTGTTTAAAGCACAGATGTAGATAATTGATGTTTTTCAACGTAAGCGCAGAATAAGCGCAGGTATGAATGTTTTTGCGTCAGAGCCCGTAAATGTCCTAAGAGGCCCAGAGGAAGCACAGGTGCAAAAGCTGGCACAGACCAGCAGCAAAACGACCTGGGGAGCATTTGAGGTTAAAAAAAAGATGGTAAGTTAATCTTAGGCACTATTTTACCGTAAATACTTGAATGAAGAGGGAGAAAAGTGTCATCTTCAAAAAACAGTGATCTACAATGCTTGTTAAAATCAGAACATTTCTAGAGAGATGGTAAATTCTGGGCCTTAATTGCGTGATAGTTGCTGTTTGTGGGGTCCATGCGCTACTAATCTCTTGACAATTACCGTGGGACGAGAATTTGTTTTCTTGTGACACTGAAGCAATGGGCGAATGAATGGAATGTAATTTTTGTGTGTGGTTCTAGAGATGGAAAGCAGGCCGTGCATGAGCCCAGCAAGTTCTCTGCCCCTGAGCCACCCGCACCCCTTTTTGTTTGTTGAGACAAGGTCTCACCATTCAGTTTGGGCTGGCCCTAAACTCCCCACAACCCTCTGCCCTAGCGCTGGCATGAGCAGTGTGTGCCACCAGGCCTGGCTGAAATGAAAAACTTAAAATCTCTCATAGCAGACATTTCTGGCAGGAAAGCCAGGTATCATTTTCACTGTCAGAATAAGTGAACAATTTATTTTCCTGATAGTCTTTTCTCTATTTACACTGCTATGAAAATGTGTGACTCCTTGAGTTAGCACTCAGGGTTCTTCTTTTTTATTTATTTATATTTTTTAATTTTTTTGGTGGAACATTGAGCCCTTGTACTTGCCAGGCAAGCGCTTATTCTGCTGAGCTATCTCTCCAGCCCCCCAAGGGTTATCTTTTGTGAACAGGATTTAAAAATCATTGCACCACCTGTATATGGTTACCTTTTTCCCACACATGATAAAAAGTTAGTTTGGGTAGAAATGATGATTTCTAGTCATTATTAATTCTTGCTAACTTTGAAGCAGATTCCTGAATACAGTTAGACAGAGACTAGCTCGCTGTTTTCCATTCTGAAATGTTTCTTATTTTTTCCTGTTTCTTTGGAGACTTTAGTCTTGTTAGAAGGAAAGACATATCCTCATGTTTCTTTCTGTGTGTGTCTGTGAATAATTTTGGGGAAAGCTGGAATGGATCAACATACACACACATACGCAGTATATTGTATGCAATTTATAGGAGTTATGATAAATTTCATGATGGACACAAAATTTTGATAATTCTTGCTTATCAATATTCATTGTAGACACTGAAGTAAAGCGTGTATCCTTTATTAAACCCCTACAAGCACCACGTTGAGTGGTGACTGAGTTTGGTGCTTTATATATTTTATTTCGAACAGTCCAGTGCTTCAGGAAGACAGAAGACTTTATGGGCTTACATTATGGAATTACAGAGCTGTCAAGCTGAGCTGAGATTGGCTGTAAGACTGTGTGCTGCTTAAGCCTGTGTGATCTCCCTGAAAATGCTTCCTATGCTGAGTGTTGGCCTAAAGAGAGACTGTCAAGAGAGAATGCCAGGTCACATCGGGGTTTGGAAGTTGTTTCTGGAATCCTAAGTGGCTTGCTCCAAACTGTTTATCTTCATTAGAGATTACTGCTGGTGTGTTCATAGGCATTACTCAGAAGTAGCTGGACTTCCCTTCTGATGTCCTCCAGTAGGGTGAGCGTGCATACAGTATCCAAGGGGAGTCTGCCCAAGTGACTGAGGAAAATAATAATGTGCCAGAAGGTTGGAGACCTCGTGTAGGTGCTGCTATGCGGCTGAGTTATGTTGTACAAGCCATAAAGCTCCATTTCTTTGATCATAACGTGGAACTATCTATCCTGAGTCTATCTCAGGATTACGTCAGGCATGGCCTATGTAGACACCAGCCCAATATTTTTATTTTTTGATAAAGAACTGACTGACTTGGCTGCAAGTATCTATGAAGTAGTTATTATGTGATCAGGAGGTGGAGGACAAGGTGTGGTAACATGGATAAAGTCCCCGTCAGCATAGTTGGGCTTCTGTGTAGGATTTAGCAAGTAGATGAACGAAGGGTCATGTTTTAAGGGTTAAGGTGAAAACAACTGAGGCACTAACGGAGGACTATGGATCTCTGGAGGAGGGAGACATGGCTGCATGTAATAAGCACTTGCAAGGCAAAGAAGGAGAAAGGACACAGGAAAAGGCACGGTCTTGTGTAGAGGTTTTGTGGTACAGTGTAAAAACATATTATTGTGGGGGTGAATGTTTAAAAAAAATAACAAAAACAAGAAAAGGAGAGATTTTTCGTGTGGCTCCCAGTCAGCCCACCAATCTGGGAATATGAATCAGGAAGCTGAGGAGGGAAAAGAAATACACACTTGAGTCCATGTGACCCAGCTTTGGAAGACAGAAGGAGTAAGTGCCGGTGGAGTCCACACCACTTAAAAAGATTGGCCTCCCAGGACCTTGCCAAGTGTGGTATTTGGAGGAGAACCTTGGCATGGAGTGGAGTGCCGGAGACTGCACCGTAAACAGGCCGAGGGCGTGGAAGGAGCGCTGTCCGGAACCCTGTGAGAGCGGGCCCGACCCGCACAGCTCCCAGGACAGGGCAGGGCTTGTGGGCCTGGGCGCAGTGGCAGGGAAAGGGGGATTGGTGTCTACTGTCCTGCTGCACAGTAGGGCGACGACAGCTGACAAAAATTGAGTAAATACTTTAAAATAGCTAGTAGGACATTAAACGTTCCCAACACCAAAATGCGCTACGTGGTTGAGTGCAAACACTCCGATCACGCCAACCTGACGATGGCCGTCCCAGTGTGTCCACGTACTGAACATCCCTGCGCCCGCAACCGCACGGTTATTGTGTGGAGGGTTTTGGAAGGACTTAAAAGGTGAATACTAAAAGCTGTGGGCACTCTCGTTACTAAGACCGAGTCATTTACTGGAGGAAAACATAAAAAAAGAAATGATAGGAACATGCTCCCAAAACGGAGGGCTCCGGCTGGGTTTTGCGATAAAGTCCCTAACACGTGTAAAGACGGAGGTTTCAGAATAGCGTTTGGCCTGAGTAGGAGTTTCTTCTAAACACCAGTGCACCGTGTGGCCCACCCAGGAGGTCGTATAGACTCCTGGAGTCAGGCTATGGCAGAGGAGCCGTGATTCTTTGATACTTGGTAAACTGAAGAAGTAAAATCTAAATTTTGATGCTGGACCTTAAAACGTGTGTATCTCGCTGCAAAGATTACTTCTTGTTTGGATGAAACTAGTAACACCAGGTGGTTTTAAAAAAATTCTGGGTGGGAGGAGAGGGTCAGTTGGGGATCTTGGTTCATCTTAGGAGGTTGTCAAAACTACTGTATTTTTTCCTATGCCCAATAAAGGTGGAATAAAAGCAAATGAGATAATAATATATAGTTGTGCTCCGGCTCTGTTCCAAAAACTGCAGTTGTGTCAATAGTTTGAAAGTCAAAGCCCAAAGTTCTGAAGTGAACCGAGTCAATATCCACAGAGCAGTAGAGATGGAGGAGTTGTCCTGGGGAGACTTCAGAAGAGAACGAATTTGAAGATGTCCTGGCAGCCTTGTGCTTCTTGTCCCTGTCTTCCTCAGGCATCTTCCACAGTGGCCAGATTCTGTGAGCATATTATTTGTCATGCACTTAGAGAATGAAATGAATATTATTAACAGTTATGCCAGGGCCATGGGCATAAGCTGGGACGTATTGTCACCCTGCCTTAATTTCTTTTGTGCTGCAAAGGACACCATTGGTGTCTTCTCAACCCACTTGTGACAGTGGTCATACTGCGTGCCATCATGCCCCACAGACAGCTCTGGTGGAAGCAGACCCCGTTGTGCCGTGGTTATCGGCACCATGTCCGTCTTTCCCATCGAAGTGCAAGCGCTGTGAGGGTTAGGGCTCTGTCTCGTCCACCTGGCTCACCCTCTCCATCCTGCAGCTCAAAGCCTGGCACAAAGAGCTCCCAGTAAATGTTTGGTGGGAAGGCTGTGCTCATGGATGAACTGGGGAAAAAGAGAAGTGGTAGAATTGGTGGAGAAGACCAGAAAGGTTATTGCTGGTGGAGAGAAAAGAATGTAGAATGGGAGCGAGCTGCCAGCAAGGATGGTGAGAAGGGTGTTGTCCATAAATCAGCCCCGTGGACAGAAGGGCAGAGCCAGGGGAGACTGCGGATGCTCACGTTGTTGCTTGGTGGCTGCTTTAAGGAGGGCTTTACAGCGAAAGCATGTTGCCAGTTTTGCTTCTGTGTGCTGGGCGGCTGTAGTTTGCATTTGGAGAACTGTGCTCAGTAAGCCCGAGATGCCAAGAGAAGAGCTTCTCAAGGAATTCTGTTACTTCTGCTTCCTGCTGAAGCCAGGAAGTTCAGAGGCAGCCACAAGGAAAACTTGAGTGGAAGGTTTGAACCTAGAAAAAGTTTTGTTCGAGTTGGAGGGTCTAGGTTGCTTGACTGCCTTCAGCGCCACGGTAAGTACGCTCTGCTTCTCGTGTTTCTTAGGTTTGACTTGTTTCATGTTGTCCTGCTACATTCTGCTTCTCGTGTTTCTTAGGTTTGACTTGTTTCATGCTGTTGCGCTACATTCTGATTCTTTGGGGTAGGCCTCCAAATTTGGCAGCTTGAGCAAAGCTGCTGCACCCACAGCAGTGGCGAGGAGGCCGCACCCAGCAGGCAGGCTTGTAATGTTGCTGGCTGGGCTGCCTAGACCCGCAGTTCTACACGGGAGGCTCTTGCAAAGTGACCTATGCAGGTCTTCTCCGTTGCTTTCAGAGAATGATAACATCTTAATAAAAGCGCCATGTATACATACTTTAATAAATAATTGCCAGAACTGTTTTTTTTTTCCAATAAAAAGATAATTTTCAAAGATTTTTTTATCACTTAAGAGACCCCGAATTGCCTGAACCTCAATCTCTAAATGTTTCGGTCTATAGGCATCCCAGATTCCAAGAACCAATGGAAGTTGTAGTTTATTCTGAAATGAAGGTGTGCAGACTCTTCCTAAGAGTGAGATTTTAGGCCTCTAAAATCTTTCCCAAAAGGAGAACTTCCCACTGCAGATCTGGCTCTGCATTCAGGGGTCTTAAGCAAGTTCTTCTGTAAAGACGGACCTCTCTGCTCTGGATGCCAGGGCCCTGCCGAGTGCCCACTTACTTTATCCGTGTGTGCTCCTCCAAGCTCCTGCCTAAAGAGTTGCGCTCCACATAACAGAGCCACTTGCTTACGGCTTGCTTTGTAGGCTGAGGTGCTGCTTACCTAAGTGGCTACTTGCAAATAATGGTAAGAGGGAGGCTTCCTAATTTCGTCACCACGCAGCTCCCCGAGGGTCAGGTGACTTCATTCCTCGGAAACGCCATCCCATCGTCTTTCTTTCAGCACAGTCATCCCACACTTCGCTATCTGTCTCCTTTCTATACAGATTTAAATTTCTTTACCCTAAAGAGCACTAGTGTAAGCATGACATTTATAACGCAGCTCGGATAGCTGCCAGCGGGCCTGTGCTTGTGGGGCTGGATGTACCTCCCAAGCGCTAGAGCGGCACCTGATCCAGGTAAGGAGAAGGCGCTGCTAGGAGGAGTGAGCTGGCAAAGGGTCAGACAGCTTGATGCCTCCAGGGCTGCTTCAACACTCGATGTGAAATTCACTGCGCACTGAACACAATTCCTTGCTATTGCTTTTCTCTTCTAGAGAGACATCTCCTCTACGGACGACCTGCGGTGCTGTACCGGACCAGATACGACATCTTATACCACACTGACTTCGAAAGCGGCTACAGTGAGCTTTTCCTGATGCCTCTCTGGACTTCCTACACCATTTCCAAGCAGGTTGTTCAGAAAATTGGGTTTTATAGTCTTCATTTTATGATAGTTCTTACTGCAGTTCTGTGACTGAATTAACAGAATTTATCTTAGAAAATAAATGTTCATGTTTCCTGATTGAACAAATTCACTGTTGGGTCTATTACGAGCTATTTAGAGCATTAATTTGGTGTTTCAATAGTGCTGTGGTAATGTCTTAAATATGGAAGACAGCACTAATTCTTCTCATTTTTATATTTTGCTTAAATTACAGGATAGTTACTGAAGCTACCATTTGTTTATTTATTTGTTTAAGACATGGTCTCCCTCTGTAGTTCAGGCTGGCCTGGTCCTCACTGTGGAGTCCAGGCTGACCTTGAACTCACGGTGAGCCTCCTGCCTCAGCCTCCTGAGTGCTGGGGCTACAGGGGTGTGCCACTAAACTTGGGTGCTTATTTTCTCTAGTAGACTTCATTGTTAGAGCAGTTTTCGGTTGTCAGCAAGATGTAGTGGGAAGTGTGGGGAATTCTGGTGTGTCCCTGCCCGCAAGCGTCCCAGGCACTAGCACCTGTCTTGTTTTAGTCAGAGTTTGGCATTGAAGTTGCAGTGTGGTGGAGCTGAGCCATGTAGCTGTATGTAAAGAATTAGAAAATTTATTTGCAATTGAGGTATGTTTTTAATTTCTGAATATAAATAAAGTACTTCTGCGGCCCCGTAGAGCTCCCTGTTCATCTGTGCTGTGTATACACGGGTAGACTCTTGTTTGTTTTCTACATATTTATAGACAGAGCACACACACATATGCACGCTGAGAGTGCAAGGGCATGTTTAATTTTAGGAGTGCTGGCTTTTAAGTGCTCTTTTGTAGAACTTTTTATTTTGTGTATCTTTTTATTTCAGCTGTGCAAGTTCTGCTTTATAAATTGTTTTACTCAAGACTTTGCAAGAGGAGCCGGGAAGATGGCTCAGTGGAATAAGTGCTTCCTTGGCAAGCGCAAGGACCTGAGTTCAATCCCCGGTTCTGGAAAAAAAAAAAAAAAAAAAAAAAAAAAAGACTTTACAAGAATTTTGCTATAAAGAAATAGGATTTTAAAAATGACTCAGATCAGGAGCCATAATGCAAACAGCAGGGCTGCACAGGACAGAGCAAGCTGGCGGCCACACATCCCTGTCCCCTCAGTGTGCTGGCTTCTGCACTGGGGTCACTAACTGCCTCTGCCCCCACGCAGGCCGAGGTCTCTGCCATCCCCGAGCACCTGAGTGGCTGCGTACGCCCGGATGTGCGGGTCTCTCCAGGTTTCAGTCAGAACTGCCTGGCCTACAAAAATGACAAGCAGATGTCCTACGGATTCCTCTTCCCGCCCTGTAAGTCACCAAGTGTCTGCTTGCTGGTGTTGTTCTGGGCATTTGGGGGGAGAGATGTGGTTCAGCAGGTGGTCAGTGGCCTGGGTTTTCTTCAAGAAGGGCACTTCGATGAGATTTTTCCAAAATTGGCCCCAAATGGCCAGCTTTCTAAAATCCAGTTCTCCAAGTCTAAAGTGCAAGGAAATCTCCTGTGTCCCTCTTCTGACCCTTCGGTGAGAATCTGAAAGAGAAACGTGCACAAGCCGTCGCTCCTTTGGAGCCCTGGGCTGGCTCTCCTTCTCTCCTTCTCTTGAGGTCACTTTCTAAAGCTGAGTTGCACAAGGGCGGCCCAGGCTTGTTCCATAGCGTGCTTGGTGGACTCTGGAGTTTGATAGAAAGAAAGGGAAGAGTGAGGGAGGTGGAGACTGCCTGGAGGAGAAATGCAAGAGTCGAGCAGTGATTCATATGCTTGGGACCATGCTGGAAGTTGTTTTCCTGTGCATGGAGATCCTGCTAAAGCCATGGATGCTGTTTGTTTTCCTAATGCTTAGATCTGAGCTCTTCACCAGAAGCTAAATACGACGCATTCCTTGTAACCAATATGGTGCCAATGTACCCTGCTTTTAAACGTAAGTCCAATATTTACCTAATAAACTGTGACTTATGAAAATAAATATTTCTAAATTTACCACTTACCTTTTCTACCTCTATATTGATTTTAATAATACTAACACCTTTCATGTGTTTAGCTGATGGATGTTTTGAAGTGTTTTCATGTACATTCTCTATTAGGGGGCCCCAAATTTGCAGCTGTGAGGGAATGTTGTTTATAATGAGGACACTGACGTCACGAGAAGTCATGAGTGGGTCACGAGTGGCGGAAGATGGGCTAGACTGTATTTGTGTTGTGTTCCGACTTGCAGTTCTTTCTATTTTCATGCTCACAATTTCGATGGTTAGAAAGGGTCAGCACTAGGTCTTAGGGGCTGGTTGTTGTATTACAGCGTCTGTACTGAGTCACTGAACATTTTAACAAAAGCCACTACTGCCTCTCTCCTTTGGGGTGCTCCGGTGTCCCAAATGTTAGTGCTGAAGTCCAGTAAGAGCTAAAAGGGTTTTCTGATTCATAAGCATATTAATTTTAGATGACTTTAGGACTGTGAGGCCAAATTATTATTTGGTCTCTTGGAATGCATTGTTTATTTATATATGTCATAAATATTTTTATGAAATTCCTAAGTTGTGTAAGCACAATAAGCTCTGGTCCAAAACACCAAGTCCATTGTCTGTGTAATAATAAAAATGCCACTCACCCTTTCATTTGTAAAATTAAGAGATTTTTGTTGCATGACCTCTATGGTTTATAGATTTATCTAATTTTCCAGTGACCAAAATAATCCATTTCTGTCTGTCATAATAAAAATCAATCTATCCATCCATCCATCCACCCTTCCATCCAAAGGCAGAGAAAGCATAATGGAATAGCTTTTCCCCCTTTTTGGTGAACAGACCTGTATGTTGTGGGACAGGTCAGAAAAGGAAGGATGTCTCCCTACCTTGCTGTGGTAGGGAGGCCTGGGCTGTCACATGGGGCTCTCAGGGCTGGGCACAGGCCTCAGATCAGAACAAGTGAGTCCCAGCTATCAGTGACAGTTCAATCTTCCCAGCTCAACCTTGGTGAAATGGTCCACATGGTTTAGAGGGAAAAAAATGTTTATTTAATGTCCTGGTGAGTCAATTTATCACAATATAGCTTCATTTAATTGCCACCAATCAGGGTTTCCTGGATCTCTTTACTCTTTGTTGATGCATTTTCTGACCAAACAGTAATAAAGCAAACACATGGTACCACCCCGAGGCTGGTGTAGAAAAGGCTTTCACAGAGAGCTTGTTGTTCTTTCCTGGGGGAATGGTTTTTCACTCGCCACATTTCTGTGGGTTTGGCCTTCTGACTGTTGTCATTGTTGTCTCTGTTCCTCTTGCTCTCTCCTTCTTCCCCTTAAGTTAACATTTGATCTTCTGCCTTGCTATCCTTCTGTAGTACAAATAATTATCTAGGAGGCTTGTCTCTGGCGGGCTGCCCTGCTGGTCTCGTTCAAAGTAGAGTAGGAGAAGGTCCGGAGCAGGGGGCACTGGGGGAAGGTGGCCAAGTGCTCAGGGCAGGAAGGTGGGGCAGCCCAAACCCCCCTCTGGGCAGAGCAGCTGAGGTGGGTGGGACTCGGCCGGGAGTCCACTGCTTGCCTGCCTCTCCTGCCCTCTGCTGGGCTTCTTTCCCCCTCTCTCCCTCTGCCCCCATCCTGTCCTGTGCCTCTGGTTGGCCTTCACACACCCTGGAGCTGGGGTGTGTGAGGAAGACCTCGGTGCCGCTGAAAGCAAGGGAAAAGCAGACACCCCCAGGCCAGGAGAAGAACTTCCTAGGTAAAAGAGGAGCAAATGTAAGAGCGTGGGCTGGACCAGGTTTGGCCAGGCTGGAGGACAAGAAGAAAGGCTTGCTCAGGAGGTGGGGAGAGGTAGGAAGTAAAACCAGAGGTGGTGAGGGCCCTCAGTGGACTGAAGGTTTTAATTACAGTGAAAAAATCATGTGGAACATTAGAAATGTGTGTGCATGTGTGAGTTGTGTGTGTGTGTATACACACGTGTGAATGTGTTGTGATCTGACTTATGGTGCAAGAAAATCCATTTGCCTCCTACATGAGGGTGGCACAGGCTATGGGCCAAGGTAAGCGCTTCTCATGGGAAGCCAGGAAGTCGTCATCTATGGTGGCTCCTGTTCTGCAGTAGGGGTGACAGGAGCTTAGCATGAGATGGAAGCAGTGACAGTGGTGACAGCTGAGTGGCTGGTTTGATGCAGGGACAACATGGACACTGCCTGTCCCACGGGCATGGGATGAAGTCACGACCAAAGCCTGGGCCTTGTCCTGGACATCTGGGCATGCAGGTGTGCCATTAACTGGGACGGCCCAGGGTGGGCAGGACTAGAAGGAGTAATCCCGAATCTGATGGAGCAGCGTTCCGTGGGATGAGCCTGTTAGGTGTCCGGGTGGCTTATGAGACAGTGGCTGGGAGACACAGCTGCAGCTCTGAGCAAGGGGCAGGACTGCAGGCAGATGTAGGAAGTGGGCTATGATGGGCTCGGAATGGAAGAACAGTAGGGAAGGCCTCTGCACCGTGGCTAGAAACCCCGTGCTGCTCCTTGTGCTCAGCCTGTCTGCCTGGCGTGCTCTGGCCCTCTGTTGGCCTGGGAAATACCCGCTCGCCCACCCCGCAGGCCGCAGCTCCGTGGCCACGCCTGGGAAGCCTCCCTGATTGATTGGACCGGGCCAAGGTCCCCTAGTGCTCTCTCCTGGCTCCAGATCTCTCCCTGGCTGGGTTAGAAGTGACCCACTCAGATAAAGCTTCAAAGTGGAGTCCTTTCAAGGTCACAAAAGCCCTGTTGTCTCTGGGATTGTAACATTTGGCTTGTACCATGCATCTTTAAGAGAATCTGGCTGAAACAAGATTTTTCATGGAGAGCTGTTTTTTTTTTAAGAGTTGATTTTTGTCTTTGCACAGGAGTGTGGAATTATTTCCAGAGAGTATTAGTGAAGAAATATGCCTCAGAAAGAAATGGAGTTAATGTGATAAGTGGACCAATTTTTGACTATGATTATGACGGCCTCCACGACACGGAAGACAAGATTAAGCAGTAAGCGTTTCATGCGCATTGGAGTGTGATGTGTAGATCCCAAGACATCAAGGCTTTTAAAATATTCGTGTGTTGGAGGAAGGTTGCTATCTCTTCATCTTTTTTCCTTTAAATTTCTTTGTAAATTCTTCACTTCTTGAAGTCTTTGATTAAATATAGGATTGGGGGTTAGAATGGAGTTTTGAATTTCATGGTAAGTATAATTTTCCATTCCATGAAGAAAACATATCAAACTACATTTTCCCAATAATTATTTGATAAAAAGATACTTTCCACCTCCCCTCATGACTTGGGGGACATTTCTGAGTCAGTGTACCTTCTCAGGAATGATTCTTTCTGCCTCTCTCCTTGGTGCTATTGGGGATAAATGCGGAAGGCACGCACCCCCTCAGGCAGCGCACACACAGCCCATGTAGAGTAAGTTGCCCTTTAATTTTCAACATACGTGAAACAATCAGAGAACACACAGAACCGAAGAGATGGCTGAACTGTAATTTGCAGACATGTACTTAGAGAGTAAACCACTATTCAAAAAAAGATGACTAATAAAATGCACATTGCTCGACTGGACAAAGACTTGTCACACCACTAAGACTGTCACTAGAGCTCGGTTCTTAGCAGTTTGGCAGATGAGTTTAGGTTCCCGCTGCAGTTTGAAAGGCGGTTGGTGCCCTGAGTGCAGGATCTCCTGGCTCTGGCCCATTTTCTACACCTCTGAAAGGCATCTTCCTGACGCATGGGCCTCATGGTGCCACTCTGTATCTCGAAGCCCTAAGCAGAGAGCCCTGCGCCGTGGTGTGGGGCCCACTTCAGTCTTTTATTCACTTTTGCTCTCATCCTTCCAGCCTCCTCTCCGCTTCCTGTCCCCAGCTCTCAGATCAAGCTGTCTTACTGGCCTGGAATCTCCCTCTCGTCTGCCCACCCTGAGGCGGCAGGGAATATGGCCCGGGCAGAGAGAACAGCTCGGTCACAGAGACAGAGGAGGGTGGGCGTCACGAGGGAGCGCGACCCTGGGCGAGCGGGGAGGAATGGGGCCTCGGGGCTGGCCCTGGCCCCCGCGCAAGGCGCGCCCGCGCCCACAGCCTCACCCTGCCCTCCTCCACAGGTTCGTGGAAGGCAGCTCCATCCCAGTGCCCACTCACTACTATAGCATCCTCACCAGCTGCCTGGACTTCACGCAGCCGGCCGACAAGTGCGACGGGCCCCTGTCGGTGTCCTCGTTCATCCTGCCGCACCGGCCAGACAACGATGAAAGCTGCAATGTGAGTTCAACAACAGGTCCCGAGACAGAAGCCTGGGGCTTGGGTTTTAATTTCTGTTTCCTCTGCGGGACCCGAACTCACTTAGTAGAAAGCGCTTGGATTGCCCAGCAAAATGGAAGGAAGAGAGGGCCTGACGGGAAGACTCCTTGAAGCCTTAGGAACTAGGACTCTAGTGGCTTTTGTTTTTCAGTCTATGTGTATGTGTGTGTGTGCATGCTTAACACATATGGGTGCTCGATTTTAACCACCAACTAAAAGAGTGCCCTTGCATGTTTAGGCTTAAAAAAGGGATACATATTTTATAAAAAGGAGATAGAAAGCAGTGTGATTTTAGCCATGGCTGGAGCAGAGTGAAAGTTGAAAGCCGTTCGTTATATTAGTCTCACTACTCCTGGGATGCTTGAAAACTTTCACAGAGAAAGAGACATCAATGGAGAGACCAGGCAGGGCGAATCCCAGCAATCAGGTCATCTTCTCCGTTCGTTACTTGGTAGGGAGGTGCAGCAGGAGCTGGTTCCTGGCCCGACGTCACCCCTTTCTGCCCCCTGCATGACGTAGATGTTGATGCAAGTGCTGTGGGCTGGAAGAAGGGACCCGTGCTGTGTGCTCAGCCCTGTGCCAGCTCGGCCCAGCCCCAGAGTTGCTGCAGGCGTCTTTCATGTGGTGGGAAGGCCTTGCTGCAGATCTGCTGGTGGAAGTGGGAGTCTCGAGGCAGGGCAGGTTGTGTCTCCAGAGTAGCTGTCAGCTACCAAACTGCACTACAATGCGTGATCCTTGGAAGCCACAGGGGGAGAAACTCTAGTGTGCATATTAGATGTCACCCCTACGCCCAGACAGCTATGATGTGAGGCTGTAGATAATAGGTGAGGAAGTCGCCGCTGCAGTTGAAGAACAGCTTCAGAGGGCCCTGGGGCTCTGGACTGTGGCTTCAGTTATGAGCGGATGTCTTCCTTCTGTATTTTAGGGAAGGGCCTACAGGGTGTTCAGGGTCTCACTGCTAGGTCAGTCTCGTCATGATTCTGCTGTTTACAGTCTCCTAAGAGCTGGGGTTACAGGTGCATGCTGCCAAGCCCAGTCTCGATGCCATCTCAGTGTGCTCCTGGGGCAGGCCTGGCACAGCAGACCCGGGGATCGAACCCCTGGCCCCCTGCACTGGCAGGCGCTTTAATCTGCAAGTGATTTGGCCGGCCCTATGAGTGGATGTTGGGGCCATGGGTATTTAAAGCAAAATAAAAGATGCAGGAAGGCTAGTTAGTTGTGTTCAGACTTGTAGAATTGAGGGCAGTAGAGGAAGATTGCATTTTACACATCACTGGGAATCAAAGTTTAAAGTAGTGTTATTAGTGAGTGTTATACTGAGTTCATGCTGGATTCTGAGCACTGTGCAGGCGCTCTGTGTATATCACACAACTGCTAATCGTGTGGTCTGCCCGTAAGCACAGCTCTCTATTTCTGTTTTCTCTGTATCATATTTATTTTTCTAAATTGCTAAGGCTGGGCTTGAACTTGCAGTTCTCCTGCCTCAGCCTCCCAAAGTGCTGAGGTTACAGGCATGCACCACGCCTGGCTGTTCGCTTTCCGTTTTTCCTTCCTTGGGGTGTACTAACTTTTGCTACACATGTGTTAGTTTTCCACCGTCACTCGTCTCCATCACAGTTGCTCCTATGGGTGGCCAACTCACATCAAGAAAGAGCGTATTTTCTTCATGTGCGCCACTACCTTCATTTCCTAATGACAAATCAGAGACCACATTTTAGCACTGGGGAAGAAAATTCTCTTCTGGCAAACTGGCAAATCATTTCCTAAAGAAAGAAGTAGCAAAAGGCAGATTTTCCTGCTGTGCATTCTTACAATCCCAGCATGCCATGATTTAAATTAGGAAAATTCTTTTCATTGCTGACCACATATTCCAATGGTTGCATTTATAAAGAAAAACTTGGATTGAGTGACCACTGAAAAAAATAGAACAAATGAGCTGAATGTGAAAATTCTCCCCAAATCCCACCTCGCGCTTCCTCTGCGCTCTCCTGCCTCCTCTGGAGACCTCCCACTTGGTTCCTTACATGGTCACTGTGTGGGCTGCCTAGGGCCACTGTGGGGAGGTTATATTTAGGTCTTTCTGCTGAGGTCCTGGTCAGGTTGGGCAGAAGGGTGGGGTGTGGAAGGTCAACACCTTCGTTCTCCAGCCTGCCAAGCAAGTCCGCCTCACTTCTTCCCCTTGCCCGGGATGGCCGGGGGTCAGCTTCCTAAAGCCACGCTGTCAAGGTGCACACTGAGCCTGGCACAAGCTGCCATGCTGGCCTGTCGGGTCTGCATGGGATGGAGCTTTCTTAGAAAATTTGCAGGTTCTGGGGCTCTGGCAGGAGGTTTGCCAAGACCAGTGGTGGCTGAGAGCTGGGCCAGGGCTCATCTGAGCCACCTCAGCCCTGGGCTTTGCAGCTGCAGTCTGACCTCTAGGAAGGCTCTTGGGGGGTGCTGCAGGCCTAGCAGATGCCCTGGGGAACAGTCCTCTGTGCAGCAGCCCTGCCCCGTGTCTGCTCATGCAGGCAGTGACTTCCTCCTAGCTGCAGGGTTTCCTAGCCTCTTGCTTCCACCCCAGCTGCCTCCAGAATGAAAGAATGTAGTTTCGAGATGCAAAAGCCTGTTTCACTGGGATTACCTTTCAGTCTCATGGTAGACATGAAATGAGTTGATGACGGGGGTGTTTGAATTTCTTCCACCTGTGCCAAAGAGACCATTTTCAGCAAAGAAATAAAGAGATTTTCTTCCTTTCCTGTCCTTTCCTTCTCTTTTCCTAGGCAGGATCTCCCTATGCAGTTCAGGCTGGCCCTGAACTCCCTCATGTAGCCCAGGCTGGGCTCGAGCTCACAGCGATCCTCTTGCCTCAGCCTCTGGAGTGCTAGCATTACATGTGTGTTCCCCCATGCCTGGCTTTCCTTCCTTTCTTCTGTGAGGTTTCTGTTCCTTTTTTTTCCTTCTTCTTTCTTCTTCTCCTTTTCTCTCCCTGCCAAAGCGCTGCTGAAGTAAACATAGTTCACCTTGAAATCAGTGAAGACGCCAGGCCTTGCGAGGTGCAACAGTGTGACCAGAGGGCCTAGCCAGGAAGTGGCCAAGTCTAGCCTCTTAGGTTGCCACGGCCAAGTGCGTCCCCTCAACCGCATCAGGCTGAGCTCATTCCTAAGGCGCTGGTGCACTTTGATGTCACAGACGGCATTGCTGACTGTCCTGAGCAACCTGCGGGGCACACACGTGCTCCAGATACAGCTATTCCTTTTCCTGGGAAGTGGAAGGGCATCTCACATTACTGGGATCTGGGCTCGTTCAGCAGCCAGGAAAGGAAACAGATCACTGGCTCTTTGGGCTGTCTGGTTTCCATCGCTCTGACTTGTGCCTATTGAGGAACATGCCTTCTCAAGAGCACAAGCCTCCACTGCTTGGTACAGTTGACTCCCACTGAGGTTTGCAGTGGCGTGCAGCATTGGCAGTGTTACCTGGCAGGCACATGGGTTGGGATGATGGACGGGAAGGGGGGTCCAGGAGGGAGCAGCAGGCCTGGCTTGGTGGGCATACGGCGAAGCCGAAAGAGGACGTGCGCTGTCTTGGTGCACAGCGATGGTCACGCAAAGCCCCCTGCAAAATCAGGCTCTGACCACTTGGCTTCTGTTGCAGAGCTCAGAGGACGAATCCAAGTGGGTGGAAGAGCTCATGAAGATGCATACAGCTCGGGTGCGGGACATCGAGCAGCTCACTAGTCTGGATTTCTTCCGAAAGACCAGCCGCAGCTACCCAGAAATCCTGTCCCTCAAGACCTACATGCATACGTACGAGAGCGAGATTTAGCTTCCCAATCACACATGGCGCAGTCTTATCACCTGGTGTATATTTTTATATTGTGTTTGTATTTATTAATTTGAACCAAGACATTAAAAAAACCTTAGTATTTTAATCCTGTACCAAATCTGACATATTAAGCCTGAATGACTCCACTGTTTTTCTCTAATGTTTGATTTAGGTAGCCTTGTGTGCAGATAGAGCTGGTGATAAATACTGCAGCTTGAGATCTGAGCGGGAGCTTCGAAAGGGGGCTGCAGATCGGATATTTGCATTGAGGGAATATTACTTTCCAATGCACAGTCGCCACATGCAGTCCTGTACTGTACTGAAATACTGATTTTGTAAAGTTGCATTCATTTGCTGTTAACTATGAAAGACATATTTAAGCCTTATAGACCAATCCTAAATATAATAAATCACATGTTCAGTTTTTTCTGGGTTTGTTTGGGTTTTATTTCACTTCGAAATGGAAGGGTTTGTTCAGGCATGTTCATGCACGTACAGAACATGACTCTTACAGTGATTCTCCTCAGTTGTTTCCTTGCTATGTCATTGCAGTGGCCAGGGCGAGATGTTTGGTTTGTTTCTGTGGGAAATTAGAGCACCAATGGAGAAGACAACAAAAAGAACTCCTGAATGTCTTCTCCCAACCAATCGACATTTGGAAATACTTTGAAGGGACTGTCTATTTTGATCACATTGGTTCAAAAGTATTCTAAGTATTAGGCTCAACTTAGACTGCATGGAGCATGTGTTTTCCACAAGGGATCAACCAAAGAACCATGGAGGTCATAATGAGCTTGCAGACAGCTACATGACCTGTCACATGGACATGATTATTAAGTCAGATAGAGAGTAACAGATGCTGAGGGAGAGGCTTGGTGAACATGATCAACTGAATGGTATCTGGAGTGGTGATCTTAGGACAGAGCTATTGCTTTAAACGGTGGCTGGAAAAACCCTTCAGTCTTTCCATCATGGAGAATGATGATGGCTGTCACACTAGTAATGACACTAAAATCTTAGTGTCCTACTCTTTTCTGAGTCCCCATTTGCAGTAGGAAGTACACGTCCCCTGTGCGGAGTGGGCATGTGTGCAGGACGCACCTGGTTTCTTTTTACTTCCTCTTCTATAAATTTGCTCTGAAAATACATCAATTTAAGAAAGAAAACAAGGGCTGGCAAGATAGTTCAGTGGACTAAGGCACCTGCTTTAGGCAGAGTGCAGTGGCCAGGGTCTGACCCCTGGTGTGCCATGCTGGCCCTATCTGAGGGGGTGCGCTGAGATGGGGACTGAGACTGGGTGTGGTGGCGCACACCTGTAATCCCAGCGCTTGGGAGGCTGAAAACAGGAGAATCACTATGAGTCCGATCTATGTAGTGAGACCCTTTAGACCCTGTACTAAATACAAAAAGAAGAAACAAGAAGAAGGAGGAGGAGGAGGAGGAAGAGGAGAAGGAGGAGGAGGAGGAGGAGGAGGAAGAGGAGGAAAACATCATGTTAAACAATGATTGCATCAAAAAGGGAGGATGGTACAGGGAATGTGTGTAAAATCATAAGCACAGTAAGAGAAAAACTGACATTTAGGAAATACAGCACTACACTGGAAGACGTGCTTGTGGCCCTACTCGAGACGGCTGCATTTACCCAGCACTTGCTAGCCCTCTGCTGCGTCTGTGGCACTTCCTATGCTTTCTCTGCAAACTCTCAAGAGTGACCTGAGTAAGGTAGAAGTAAACTGGACAGTGGCTCATCATTCAGTCAGTATCCTACAGTAGTTCATTAAACATCTACTGTGTGCCCATAGGTATATCTTCCACTGGGAATGAAACAGTGACTGAAATAAACGTGGTTCCTTGTCTCACAGAATTTATCAGTGAAAGAAAGAGCTCTGAAGTTTCATATAATATGTACGGTCAGAGCGTCCAGAAGATGCTGTGCAGGGGCAAAAATGGAAGACAGTGTTGATGACATCCCTGCCAAGACCTGGCCCGTGAGACAATCCAGCTTCAGGGACAGTGGCATCAGGAATAAGGGTCTCAGGAGGTAGCAGGGCATCCCCAAACACCATGGCCAAGTCAAGAGGGCCAGGCCCAGCTCCCATGGCCTGCTAGACCCTATGGAGGCCTTTTGAGTCCATCCCAAGTGCCACAAGAACTCGCTGAAATGTCTCCAGCAGGAGCTGAGCTAAGATTTCAGTATGCTGGCTGGGTGTGGTGATCTCCATACTCAGGAGGCTGAGGCAGGAGGATTGCTGGAGCTGGTGGCCAGCCTAGATTACACAGTGCATTCAGGGACACTGTGAACTATATAACAGGACCCTGTCCCCAAAAACCCAAAACCAAACAAACTACCCAACAGTAGGATTGCAGGGGAAAGAGGCTAATTTTATTTTTACAAACAGTAATGAGCTCCTTGCTAAGCTAAATTTCTGTATCACCTCAGACTGAACTCTTCTCAAAATAAGATATACCTGAGGCTTCCGGGGAGAAGAGGTGCGCATTTACCTGAGTGCCGCTGCTCTATTTTTATGCATGGGCCAAGTCTTTCTTTTTTTCTCATAAATAAGCTTCAGACCTGGAGACAGCATCAACCACCATGTATTTCAGGTAAGTGGCTCTGCCGATAAATGCATGTCCTTAATTGTGGGGTTGGCCGTGAAAGTCCTTGAATGGACAGGGACTCTATTAACATGAAGTTGAGGAGACTATTTTAGTATCAAGACCGTGGCCCATTCATGCTTTCATGGACAAGCTGCAGCCCACTGCTAGCCCGGTGGTCCTCTTCCAGTAGCCACAGGCCCCTCGCTAGAATGAGCGCATTGTATGGGATGGGCCAGGAAGCCAGCCACACAGCTTCTCAAGGGAGAAAACATGCTGAATTATGTGCAGCAGGCTTGGCTTTGGAAAAGTCCTGAACAAAAGCAGTGTTGGCTGCCAGCTTGGTTTGTGTAACTGTGCCCAGGAGCCACAGAGCCCCACTTCCTGTGCTGGTGACTCCTTGTGCTGCTGGGAAGATGAATCCAGATGGCCCCTGTTTATATCCTTCTTCCTCTGAGCCTTCCTGCTGAGTCAGGACCAGGTCTGCCTGGTGGGTGGGAAGTGGTAGAGGCCACGGGAATGCTCCCCTGGCTTTGAGAGGGGTTGTTTGGGACAGCAAGAAAGAAAATTCACAGGTCAGAAGTGGGGGCAAAGAACACTGCTGAAGGTCCACACTGGAGTGGTGGCAGGGCCCTTGGACTACACTTTTAGGAAGTTTGTGTCCTTGACCCCTCTTGGCAGGGACAGCCTGTCCTGGCTGAGACACAGAAGCAGAACAAACGAGCTTCTCCTGCCTTCCTCCTCGGCCTCCTCTTTTTTTGTTTCCTTCCTCCTCCTCCTCCGCCTCCTCCTCCTCCTCCTCCTCCTCCTCCTTCTCCCCTCCTCTTCCTTCTCCTTCCAGCTTTATGGAAGTAAAACTGACATAAAGCAATGCACATGTTTATAGCATACAATTAGATAACTTCCCTCCAGAAATTATTTTTAATAATCTTGTTACATAAAAACAAACACAATGTTTTATCAATTCACACCCATTTGTATTTTAAAAGATGTGTGTAGATGTCCCCTCAAAACTTCATGCTGGGGGGCCGGGGAGATGGCTCAGTAGGATAAGCACTTGACTGGCAAACACAAGAATCTGAGTTCAATCCCCGGTTCCTCCAAAAAAAATAAAAATAAAAAATAAAAACTTCATGCTGTTGTAGGTGGGGCTTTTCAGATGGTATGTGAACATGGATTAAGGGTGTGGCACTGGGATTAAGAAGGTATGGTATGGGATTAATCTACTGATTGGTTTAACATAGCTTGGGTGTGGATGATGGGAAGCCCACCCTGGGTGTGGGTGGCTCCAACCAATGGGCATGTAGCTTGGATGAGGTAAAAGAGAAAGGAAGGCTGCTGCTTCAGCTGCACTGTCTGCTGCCCTGCCATGGACTGTTGCTTCTTCTCCATGCCTCCTTGCCTTGGAGCCAGCAAACTATGGACTGAAACCTCTACAAATTTTGAGCCCGCCCCATTCATCACCTTTAACTTGTAGGTGTCAGGCATTATGCCTTAGCCAAAAGAAAAGTAACCAAGGCACAGACAAAATTAAGAATGCAGATTTATGCATATTTATAACACATGTACATTCACAGAATTTTAGAGACTTATGGACTAGAAGAATCATAAGTTTGTAATTTGAAAGACAGACAGACACACACACACAGACACACACAGACACACACACACACACACACACACACACACACACACACACCCATGAGTCAATCCCTACCACCAAGCTAGTGAAATATCCACTACAGCCGGCCATTTACTTTCTCATGACCACTGATGACCTCCTCCAGCCCCACCCCTGTTCCCAAGCCCCTCTACTTTCTGTCCCTGTCCACTTGTGAGCACTTTGTAGAGTGTGGTGCTGACAGGATGGAAAGCCCGTGCTTCCTGTCTGGCTCCTTGCCCTCAGCACAGTTACTCTGAGACTCACTCAGTCCGGGGCAGGTGGCCCGTTCCTCTTGGATTATTAAGTAGTGTTGCATTATCTAGATAAACATTCTTTCATTCGTCTTGTGCTCAACAATGGGTTATTTTCAGGTTTTAGTTTTTAAGGACGAAAGCCTGTTAGGAACACATGCTCTAAGGTCTTAGTATAGACGTGTACTTTCTTCTTTTTTTGGTAAATGCCTGGGTGTAGGATTGTTTGATTCTATGGTAGATGGGATATAACTTCCACTCTTAAAGTAATTGCCAAACTTTTCCGAAGTGATTGTTGTGTTCGATGCTTCTCCAGGTGCTGTGTGAGGCTGCCTGGTGCTCATGGCCCAGCAGCTCTGGGGTGGCGGCCCTACGTGTATCTCTTCCAGTAGAGGAGCAGTGGTTTTACCGTTTTAGCTTGGCCTTTTCTAGTGCACACTCTTAAGCATTTTTTCATCTAATTGCTTGTCATTCTTACATTTTATTTAGGATGTGTCTGTTAAAATGTTTTGGTCATCTAAAACATTGAATCATTTGTTTCCTTGGGAACTTTAAGAGGTAGTCTTATATTCTAGATTCAAATTCTCATGTATTTTACAACAACATTTTCCCAGTTTGAGTGTGACAGATGGAAGCTGTCATTGTTATCTTTCTTCTTTTTACTCTTGGTTGTTTTTCAGATTTTCCTTTGTCACAGGTTTCTTTGTCTGTGATGCTGGGCGTCAGAGCCAGGGTCCTGCCCATGCCCAACAAGCACACTGCCACCACACTGGTCTCCAGCCACATCTGGTCACAGTGCTAAGAAGCCTCAGCCTGATGTGTCTAGATTTATCTTTCTTTGTGTTTCTTGTACTTGGGATGCGTGAATTCATAGTTTTCATCCAACAGAAGACGTAAGGCCATTCTTCCTTCAAATTT